ATAATAAGCAACATTATTATTTCAATCGGATCCGAACCCGAGCGCGGATGCAAGCAATCGCAGGTAAGGGCATCGCGTTCAAGTTTGAGCACGCAACCCATTGCCGCGAAGGCTTGCATGAGCTGCTCATGGTAAGATCGTACTCAAATAGGTAAGGAATGAAGGTTAAGAAAAAGAGAAAGGTAAAACAGCAGACCAAGTGAGCCAATCATCGATGATTCAAGCAATAGCACACCGGAGAAGAAGGCGGGGTAAAGGAAGGGCGAGACACACAATCACACTGATTACAAAAAAAGACTCGTGAAAGATTTGAATACTTGCGAGCACAAAGAACCTCCTTAATGGCCGCTTGGCTGACTTGACCCCAGTTCATGCGAATGAGCAATACGCAAAGCAAACGAAATAGAACACGGGTTGCATTCCCAGAGGCAAATCCACGTAATATGGGAATAGGCCCCGACAACCAAAGCAAGGAGGGTAGTGGCGATCCCTGAAGCGCTTTTCTGCCGCTAGCCACTAGTGCACGACTTCGTGAGAGGGTTTACACCTGCTTAGTTACAAATGCTTAGATAGCTGGGGCGCGGACGACGGCGGCAGCGTTTGCAGATGATGCAAGAAAGCCAAAAGCGCGAGGAAGGCAAGCAATGCAAGGAAAGCAAGGAGCACGAAGGCCGATATTTCTACCGCAAGCACAACTCTCTCCTCCATGTCTTCCTTCTAAAGTGCCATAGAAAGAAGTGCAAGCAACTTAGAAAAAAACGCACGGACTAGCCCGCATGGGAAGGCGAAGAGGATGTGCATGATCAGAAAGCGAGCAACAAGCTACTCCCAATCCTTGAAATTTGCGAGGCGAGCGTTTATGTGTAATCGAATCGATAGCGCAGCAGTCTGCAAAAGCCGAGAAGAAGCGCACGCGTATGAGCGAAAACACGGAGGACTATACCGCATCTTCGGGGTTGCCAATCAGCTGGTCCACCATAGTCGGGTCCACCTCGTAGTCCATGGTTGTTGTCTCCTCGGGACCTGAGTGTCGCAGCTCCTGAAGACGTCACTAAAATTACCGAGCGATGCAACTGGAAACAGTGGCCCCCCTGAAAGGCCGTACGCACGCCTTCGGCCAAACAGTGCGCATACGCAGTGAAAGCTGGATGGGAGATACCAGGGCAGTGTCCCATTCTAAAATAGTCCCATTAATTCGTCATTACCCCGAGTTCCCGCGAGAAGGACCTTTGGCGCGTAATTTTGAACCTGGCAAAACAACTTCGAAAAAACAGAAAACGAAAACGGAAAAAAGGAAAAAGAAAAAAGAAAAAAGGAAAAGGAGAGAGAAAAAAGAAAAAGAAAAAAGAGACGAAAAAAAGAACAAAAGGAAGGCCGAGCACAGTATCTTCGAAAGGACACTTTTCGCAACTATCCATTGCCATCCGCTGGTCCGTGCTGGCTTATTCTCGTCAAGGGCAAGCAAGAGAAAAATAGGGAAAAAAAAAAACAAAAAAAAACAAAAAAAAAACAACAAAAACAAAAAAAAAACAAAGAAAAAAAACACGGGAGATCGAAAAAATTGGGAGGGACAGGCCGAAAAAAATGCGTCGTCGGAATCGAGCTAGTGTACAGCGTGTCCACACATCCAAGCCTAGATACCGCGGTATACTATGTCAATATCAAGTTTTGCAGCATATTATCCCATAACTCTTGTTTTGCAACGGGAGGTTGCTTTCTTATGAGTTTCTTAAGGGGCCGCGCAATACATGCTTTATTGGGCTTCAAAGTCAGCTATACCCAGTATCCTTGGTTCCTTGCCTTGCTCCCCTATCCTTCCTCCCTTCTGTTCTCCTTACCTCAAGCGGTTTCTTCCCCTTGGTTCGTCTTTCTCGCCCGTCGACCCCTGTATGCGTGTGTGTGTGTGTGTGTGTGTGTGTGTGTGTGTGCGTGTGTGTGTGTGTGTCCCAACCTCTTTCCCACCGGTTAATCGGGGTGTGGACGGAAGGTCGGATGCCGAGGGGCATCTGGCCTTCCGGCCCTAGCCCCCCGGTCACCACAACACACCTCACCCAGACACATAACACAGTTAGCTCATATGGAATCGGGAAATGAGAATACTCCTAACCATGTCATCATCAACCCGTCGTGGTTGGTAACTAGCCCTGTTGTGAAATACTTTTTCGATTACTTTCCAACACTCCCTCCTGCCAAACCCGTTGGTAACCATGGTTCGGACCAACCCATTGATTTCGAAAGTCGCCTCGTGCTCATGAGAGCACAGGAGCAAGATTAATACTGTTTGGGCCGTCAGAATTTGAAGCGACTGTGCAATGCTGCGATTATACCTGAATTTCATGAACTTCACCGGGTTGAAGTCAAGTCCTCTTTTCTTATCATGTTTTGAGGTAGCGAACGAGCCGCCTGAGGAAATTCGCAACCAACCCCTGCTCGTCCACTTCGACTTCTGTGGTTTCCTTTACCTCGATGCATTCGTGTGGGTAGATTCTTCTTGTAGGTGATAATCCCGAGATCTTATTTTTGAGAAAGCCTGCGATCAGTGTGTTGTTTAGGGAACACAGATCGTCAATATACCTGTATGTTTCTTCGAAACATGCAAGTGCTTGCCATTCCTGGTTCTCGACAAGGTGCGCGATCAATTGAAATTCATATTTAAAAAAATACACATCACACATGATAGGTGAGCAAGCTAAACCCATTGGGATGCCGAGGGTTTGCCTCCAAACCCTATCACCCATCTGTACCACAACGTTGGATATCAGGCAATCGCAAGTGCTAATGATTTCTGCCTCGCTGAAGTAAAGCATGTCGAGCTGTCTCTCCTGCTGCCCATCGACCCAAGAGGGGTGCAACGTGCCATTAGCAGCAACCCTTATCGCCACAACATCCCTTGCTGTCCTGACCCTCCTCCATTCCATCGCGCATACGACGAAGAACCTGATTGCGGTGATTAGTCCGTCATCGGAGTTATCTATTGGAATCTTCTCGAAGCATCTTATAATGTCTGCTGTGAAAACGGAATAGACATGCCTCGGTAAGTTGGCAACGAATTCACCGATGGATGCGATCGGCCACCAGTAGTTCGGTCTCACCCCGCGCTTCTCAAAGCTTGCCTCGCTCTTACCAGCGCAGAGCATCTGCACGTCGATCGCCAGGAACTTGAGCAGACAGGTACATACCTCCGCGACCGGGGAGAGGACGGATCGTGACGTGTTGGTAATCCATCTGAAGGTGTCCTTATGCGCTTTGTACACGACCATGAGGTGCGGTAGCAGTGCCTTATCTCCTGAGCAGCCGACGGGCGCGAGAGCGTTGGCCTCTTCTGCAATCTTGCTCCCGATCGCGGCAGGTGATGGCTGGAGTGGGATGAAGTCTGGCCCAGATAGACGTTCCAATGCTAGTCTCCTGATGAAATTGATACAAACGAACGTTGGGGTATGCGGAGCCTTGTCCGTTGGGCAGACTAGATACCTCTGGGTCAGCCACTCGATCTCACTCCTGACCGGGACGTTGTTAATCGGTTCCTCCTTGATATGCCTGTGCTGCGCATGATACTCCCTAATGCTAGCCTTGGCTCTGGTCATCACGAAGTCCTTCACCAGCTTCTCCTGTTCCATCGAGAGTTCCTCGTCGCATATCTTGGTAGTCAAGATGCAGCCAAGCGCCTCCTCAACCTCCGTCACGGCAACGTCCTCGTCAAGCGCCCTCATTGGTATGTGATTGAGCCCTGAGTTCATCATGAGCTGCAACTGCCCGTTGTTAGTGATCCCAGTGTCTGTGGTGATGACATGCATTTTGCCCTCTGCTGGAATAAGTCTCAAGGCGGCAGGACTCAAGAAATCGACGTGCCTTCCCGCTCCGCACCTGCAGTACTGGGGATCGAAGCCCATCTCCCACTCCTCTAGCTTGAACTTCCTGAACACCTTCCCCGGCTTGCATATCCTGGCGCCAAGCGGCTCATCGTACCTCCAACCAATGACGACGTCATCCAGCCAGCACTCCGATCTGGCCCCCGCCACCTGCTTCAGCCCCTCTAGAACAAGATGCCTGAGCGAAACTGCCTCCATGAGTCTGCTAGTATATCTGACACGTACGAATTCCCTCTTGTTCTGTTTTCTTCTTTTCCACGCGAGCCTTCCCGAGGGCAGTTTCACAAAGCAGCCATCCTCCTCCTGTTCGAAACACTCATCCTGCGAAATGACCACTCCGGCATTGGAGGCATCAATCATGCTTGCAGATAGGCCGAAATCCAACCATAGGTGGTGGGGGAAGGGGAAAAAACTCAAAACGAAAAAAATAAAAAACGAAAAGAAGGGGGAGAAGAAAAAGGAGGGAAAAAAAGGAAGAAAAAAGAAGGGGAAAAAATAAAATAGAGGAAAAAGAGAAGAAAACCTTAACGAAGATCTGGTGAAAAAAAGGGGAACCGAAAAAGGACCGGGAAATTTCCCTGGAGGACGGAAAACATAAGAACGAGTAAGCTCAACCGGGAGTTACCCAGAGGGCCCAGAAGCGGATGCTGATCCTTTAGTTTCATGGGGTTTGGATGCATCCTTTCTTCGCTTTTTTGTTCATGCCTCCCTTCTTCTTCTCTCTCGCCTTGGCTGAGTTGTTGGCGGATACCGCCGAACTGCCCTGGGAGGGCAAGGGTCTCCCGTCCTGGTCTGTCCGAGCATTTGTGCGTCTTTGTGATCCGTCAAGGTTAGGGTCCGTAGCGGCATAGTGCGCAGCCTGATCCATCACTCGTCCGTTTAGCTCTAGCTCTGCATTCGGGGGAGCCCGTACCGCGTGTTGTTCGACAACAATATTCTGAGGCAGAGGCTGGGTCGGCGGGTCCATCGCCCCAGGCACATCCTGCCTGAGACCAGGCGCGAAAGGGAGTACCCTTTGCCTGGGTGAGATGATGATCGGCGGGTTGCCACGTCGCCTTTTATTGGCCTGGTCTTGCGGTGAGTTCCTAGTTCTGACCCTGGGATCGCCAACGACCCTGGTGGGCAAAAGCACCCTTCTGATGGTTAGTGGAGTGTTGTACTTCCACTTCGCCCTGTCCACCACCGTTTCGGCTGTAAGACACGAATCGCGTTCGAGTGCTGCGATGGCCTCCGTCATGGATTCCCTTATAAACATGAATGTGATGCACGCCTCGATGCCTTCCTTCCAAGAGATCCTCAGAAAATAAATGAACATAGAGGTTTTCATTTTAACTGAGGCAACGTTGGGAAACAGGACATCGGGGTGCGCAAGGAGGTATACATAGTAATGATTTACCGGCGGCTCCTACTGGTGGATCCGGACCCGTTCCTTTAGCAAACCATCGCATCGGCTACTAATCACCATAGGCAATGTTTTACCAGGGATGGGTAGCGTAGAAAATATATATATATTGCAGGACGGTATTAGCTGGGATCCCAAGAAAGGAGGACTGTCCTTTATTCGCCACGATCTTCTCCGGAAGGCCGAAATGCCTATGCCGTGATTATTATCACATATCCGCATATCTGCCTTTCGCAGAGGTGTGCGATGATCWGGGAACSGACGCAAGGAATTGACATCTTYATACGAAAAAGGTGTATGCTCGAAAGTGACACGTCAATCTCGTTTGAAAGGGGATTACACAATGGAACCCGACTTTTCTTTGCGAAGAAGAAGACTCAYAGAACCCATTTCCATTCATCGATCAGCCGTTTTTCCATCCAAGGCGAAGGACATATCAACTATCCGTCKCTTGGCAAAAATATAATAATAAGCAACATTATTATTTCAATCGGATCCGAACCCGAGCGCGGATGCAAGCAATCGCAGGTAAGGGCATCGCGTTCAAGTTTGAGCACGCACCCCATTGCCCCGAAGGCTTGCATGATCATAAACACTTTTCAAAGGCTCCCGTTAACTTGGACACACGTAGTGACGTTTTGGTGCAGTATTTGTATCCATCGCCGGAAGTTCGGTCCAAAATTCATTTTTTTTAAACACTTGTCCAAGAACAACCAGTCCACATGATCATAAGCCTTTTCAAAGTCGATAAAGACTAGGGCCGCATTGTGACGCGAGTGTCTCGTAAGTTGAAGGATCTCATGGATTAACAGGATATTTTCTTGTATATTCTTATTCTCCATGAATCCCGTTTGAGCGAGGTGGATGATGTCTTCCATAACTGGAATCATCCTGTTCGCAAAGACCTTAAACAATATTTTATACACGACTGTAAGCAGTGTGATTGGTCTGTAGTTTCTAATGTCCATTTTGTCCCCCTTTTTGTATATGAGGGTTAGGATCCCTTGCCCCACCCATTCCCCCATTCTCCCGGTGAGTCAAACCTCGTCATAGAAGTCCATTACATCTTGACTTATGAAGTCCCATGTGGTTTCCCAAAATTCCTTTGGGAAGCCGTCTATCGTTGGTGCTTTGTCCTCCTTCATTTGGAGAAGGGCAGTCCATATCTCGCTTTTGGAGAGAGGGGCTTCCATAGAGTCGCGTTGATCGGATGTTAAGGCCTTATTCATGGGTTTCAAGAATTCTCTTGTCAGTCGCTTGTGGCGTAGGGCATCTGATTTGTCTATGTGCGAAGAGAACAAATCTTTGTAGAAGCCATATGTTATTTTAGTACAGCGGGCTGTGGTTATGGATGGGTCTGCGTCCTCAGCTCTGGGTTCGTAGAGTCCTTCAATTGTTGTCCTCGAGGTGTGTGTTTTAGCTGTGCTAAAGAAATGAAAATCCATCATCCCCTCAGTAGCGAATCTGGATAGCCTTGTCCTCGTCTGGGCTCCTTGCCATCGATATCTTGCATGTTCAAAAAGTTAGTTTTTTAAATGATATCTTGTATACGGTCCTGTAGTTCAGCGGTCCGTTGTTCTTGCTCTTGCGACATTTGTTCCTGCTCTGCCTCTACTAAGCTATGCATAATTGTAATCTTTTGTTGGTATCTATGAGCAGCTAGTTGCTTTGAGAATTCGTTGCTCTTTTTTGCCATGAAGAAAACACCATTGTTGAACCAAGTAACCTGCGATTCTTGCTGTGGGCAATAAGATTTCCAAAAGTCTCAGGCCTGTCGTAGGTATTTCTGGAAGGATTTGGTTCGAAGCAGAGAGGTATTTAGTTTGTAGTAGCTGACCCCTTGGTCTGGACGTTTACGTAGCGTCCAGACCGCCATGCCCATCCTGTGGTCCAATCCGGGGTATGGGCTGATTGGTAGTATTGCTGCCAATGAAACCCCCCCTCCCAATTCTTCTGAAGCCAAGATTAAGTCAATACGGGATTTGGATAATTTGGCGGGGTCATTATTTTGAAAACAGGTAAAGGCTTTTTCTGTAGGGTGACTGCGCCTGAAGGTGTCAAAAAGTGACAGGGAAGCACATAATTCCTTCAACATCCGCTCATCCTCCTCTGCGTTATATACTGTGGTCTAAGAGACTCTCCACCGGTCAAGCCACCTGTCCGGTGCGACATTGAAATCCCCCGCTAGAATCAGCGGGACCTCTGGAATAAGGAGAGTTTCCAATTTTTCGAAGAAGGTATGTCTTTCTCGGGTTGTGTTAGGGGCGTAAATAGCTATTATGCAGACTACTTTGATTTCTAGCATCCCCAAGTTTTTCACCCACCGACCCTTCTCTTCGTCTTTCTCCCAGTAAAGTACTTCTAGTCATGATTCAGGAGGAATCCAAAGTGCCACCCCGGAGCTCCTCGGTCGTGGGGCAAAGGCTTGGTAGCTCTGATAGGGCCAGACTTGCTTGTGGGCCCTCTGATGCTCAGGAATGTCCATTAGGTGGGTTTCTTGCACACATACTACATCTGACCACGACCTTCCCCCCACCCCTCTCATCATATCCCATAGTGATCTTATTTTTTTGGGGTTACGTAATGCTAAGCCATTCACATTGATCGTTCTAATGTCCAAGTTAGCTTGCTGCAGCATGCGTTTCCACTTTTGGTTTTTCCCATATACCACTTCTACCCAGTTCATTTTAAAATTTTCACCACGTTTAACTATGTGCGCCTGGACCCTACCTCATCGGTTTGAAAGTTGCGTCCATTCTTGCGTATCCCAGTCCGCTCCCCTGTTGAGAATATTTTTCCTTAAAATTGTGCACATACACGTCAGCAGTTCCTCTATAGACCACATATTGATTGACTAGATTTTTAGTTGTTGAACATCTAAGAGAGCGTTGTGTGTATGCCATTGCAGCCCCGCCTCTTTGTTTTCTTCGAATCTCACATAGAGATCCTTGTAGGCCATTTTCAAGCCCTCCGTTGAAACGTTGATGGTGGCCATTGCACCCGACTCGTAGTGACTAGTTATGAAATCAGTCACTTCGGGGGTTTTGAGTGCCCCTTCCCTCTGCATATGCCATCCATGTAATGTCATTCCCCCGTAGACAGGGGTATACGGGTCCTCGGATTCTGCGGGTGACATTCCCAACTCCCACTTCTCCTCTTTCTTCCTGATTGGTAATACCAATACCTTATCTCCCTTCGACACGCACTTGTGATATAACCCTCTTTCGATTAGGTGGCGCAACTTGGCTCGTTTTGACGGGTCTGTCTCCTCTACTTCTGTTGTTTCTATTCCTTCTCGCTCTGTCTGTGTGGCGTGTTTGGCCTGTCGTGCGGCGTCCTGTGCGGCGTCCTGTAAGGGAGGCTGGTCGGAAGGGGTGCGGTGGGGGCTTATCTATCTTAGACACATTGCATGTATCGTTCGCTTCAGGTGCTTTGACAGGTGTGGGAGGTTGGAAAGTTCTATGTACAATATTCCAAATCCTGTTCAACACCTGCTGCCTATCCATTTCCTGCGGTAGACCCTGCTGCATGGCCTGTTTCAGGCTGGGGCTTTCATCCAGAAGGAAGAACAGTTGTACATAGGCTGCGTCCCAGTATGTCTTTGTTTGGCCTGTGTACAGGGACTGGAGCTGTCTGATCAGCCACTCTGTCAGATCCCTTAATCTAATCTCTATGTCCTCTTCCCCCTTTGACTCCTAGGCCTCTGGTGCAGTGTCAGTCATCTCCACATCCGGAGAGAGCGTCGGTGGATCCCAATCCATGGGTTGGGGCCCAAAGGCTTGCAGGAAGGGGTCTGTTCCAAGGGGGGTGGGAACCTCGCTGCCTAGAGACCCCTGGGAGGAGTCTGTTGGAGGGGGTTCTTGGGGGACTTATTTTTCCGGTTGGATATGCTCACTGGCTACCTGCCGGGAGACCTCCTGGCCCAGTTCCAATTCTCTTCTTGACCCCCTCCCTCCCCCTCTCCCCCTCCCGTCCTCTTCTCCTTCCTTCTTACTCCTTCGTTCTCCGCTTTCTTTTCCTAAGGGTGTTCCTCTTTCTTTCCCTTTCCCTTGGGTTACCTGTACCCTTCGCTGGGGCTCCAAACCTCCATGCATTTTGTTGTTCTTCTCTTCTTCTAGTTCTTCTTGTTGTTCCAGTTGTCCTTGCTGCTATTCTAATGCTCCGTATCCCCCAGTCTCTGTTGTCAGTATCTGAAAGCGATTGTCCATTCTGGTTGGCAGTTTACTTTGTCCAACGAGGGGTGTCTTCTTTTTGGGGAGAGGGGACTGCCATAGTTCCCCCAAATCAGTCGGGGTGATAAAGTCTTGGGGGCTGGGTTCTGTTCGGACCTCCGTCTGTGGGTTGTCTCCCTTTGGGAGGTGGAGGTGCGTGGAGTGCCTCCGATTGGCGGACTTCTGCATTTGTACTTCTACCGGTTTGGGTGGAGAGCATTGATCCGATGACTT